CCCCTCGCGCGCCTTCCCCCCCAATCCAGCGAGGAGAAGCCTGCAACCAGCCACGTCTGCGAGCCCCAAACCAGGCAGGAGCAGGAGCAGGAGGAATCAGCCCACAGCCACTGGCCCAAATTCCAACGGCAGTGGAGTCCCTGCAGGTTTGTAGTGAGTAACCAGGAGTGGAATGTGTCCCACTGTGCGTACCAGATAGTAGCTTCACGAGGCATTTAGCCCCTGTGCCAATAACAAGGCCTGCGGCTCATCAATCATCAGCCTGGAGCAACTGCTCCCAGGATAACCTCCCCGAGCGACTGGGGAGCTGCGGCAGGAGAAGCAAAGATCCTGACACAGAGCCAGACTCGGCAAGACCAGCATGACTCTGGAGGAGCCAGCAGTGACTCCGATTCCCCGCAGCGTAAACGTGAGCAGGGTCCGGCCCCAAGTCTGCACCTCGGCACGGTGCCAGGAGAGCAGCGAGAGCATCACTGAGCCCACCCCGAACAGCTGAGAAGAATCACTGACACTTTGCAGCGTTAGCCCCTTTCGTCCCCGGATCTCAAACCTCCCCTCACCCCCCTCCCCTCCACCCACCCACCCCTTAACTAATGCCTCGATGCGGGGAACTCTCCTAACCTCCCCATGCACAGCGGGGAAGGGACCTGCCCAAGCTTACGCAGTGAGAGAGTGACGGAGCAGGGAATGGAAGCCAGGAGTCCTGACTCCGTCACCGGCTCTACCCAGAGGAGGGCGGCAGGGCTGTTTTCAGGGGTGAAGGAGCCTAGTTTCCTGGCCCAGGCACTTTGGCCTCCTTAGTTTCTTCAGTAGTAATGTTGAGCAGCCCAGCTGCAGCACCTGCCTCAGTCAGTCACTCTGGGCAACACGAAGCGTCTGCCTCCCGTGGCAGGTCACTAATTACAGTCTCGGTGTGGGTGGGATATGGCAGGTTCTGACTTCCCTGCCTACGTCCCCAGTGCTCCCCACGCAGGCCGGAGCCCTGAGAAATGCTCGGCCACCCTGCGTTGCCAAGAGATTCCCACTGAGCGAGCAATCTTGCAACCAAACCCAACCCTGCTCTCCAGTTACCTCCAGAGCATGGTGCACGGCTCGTCGATAGGAGACCAGCTTATTAAACGTAGAGTGGTTGAAATGCTGCCTAAAAGCCATCAGGCCCACCAGCTTGTCTGCTGAAACCTAGTAAGAGAATGATCCATCCTTAATAACAGATATTATTATTAATAAAATACAAATAATAATAAGTACCAGGCACTTATCTAGCTCCTTCCATGTAAGGACCTCAAAGAACTTTATAAACATTAAGTCTTGCAACATCCCCATGAAACTGAGTTGCATTATCTCCCCCCACCCACAAGGAAAATAAGAGACTCGCTCAAGGCTAAACAGCGAATTAATGGCAGAGCCAGGAATAGAGCACAGGTGTTTTGGCTCCCGTCCCTGGCCTTAGGAAGACTAGAACACATCTATATTTACAATACTTAGTCCTGCAGAGAAGAAGGAACCTGTAACGAACAGAAAGGCAATTAGCAGCGTTTGCAAAGGGTGCTTGAATAGCCAGGCACGGAGTCAACTTGTTTACTCCCAAAACATCCGGTCACACAAGGTGCCTACGTGACACGGTTTGTTTCCCCCAAGAAAGCTCTGCTCAGATCCAGCTCCCAGTGATCTCACCCACCACGCACTGTCCCTGGGGAGTGGGAGGCAGGGCTCACATTGCTCTCCAGTGACACTAACATGCACAGAATTGTTAATGGGCATCTGGAGGGAGACTCGTTCAGCCTCTCTCCGCTGGAAGGGGGGTCTGTGCGATGGGGAGCGTGGGAGAGTGTAAAGAACATAGGAATAAATGTCTGACGCTTGTGGCGCCAAGGTGCTCTCAGAGGATCTCACCAGGCCAAAAGGAGCCTGAAGCCCACGTTTTCAACCAGCCTCCATAGCATCACCCACAACATTCACGGGGGCATCCACTGTGCCCGTGCAGAATGGGCGACTTCCCATGCGAATGGCCATCTGCACATTCCCCTGCCCATTCTGCATGGGTTGGAGGTGAGAGAGCTGCCCCTGTGCATTTTCAGGTGTGGCCAAGGAGGACCAGCCCCTGTGGCAGAGTGTTTTTCATAGACCCATTTATTATCTGAATAACCTGAGAAATTTGACCCTAAAATCTAGTCCCTCATTCACAAGCCGTCCCTCCCGTTGTAGGCTTGCTCCGGTCACTACCGGCGCTGCTGCTGCAGATGGGATTATTTCCTCTTTTTGTTCATTATCAGACTCTTTGTTTTTGAAAACGAAACCATGCTAAGAAATCCAATCCAGGCTTTGCAAACAGGGGCAAGGCAACAAGATCTGGGAGGGGATCACAACAACGAGACTTGGGCACCCTCTACTGGCCATCTGGCTGCCTCGGCAGCAGCACAGGAGAAAGTCGCACAGGACACAGCAACCCGAGTTTCAAAGCAATCTGCAAGACAAGAGCACCCAGCCGGACCTCGACTGCTAGAGGGGGCGGTGAGCATCCGGAGCCCCTGTGCTTTCAACGTACCTCGGAGAACTTCCCGTCCCCAAACCACTGCACCCAGCGCATTCCGGAGATTGCCTGACGTTTGGACGTGACTCTGTAGGAGACGATGATTGCCGGCCACCAGGAGAAGCCCTTGATCTTCCCCCACACGAGCTCCCCAATTCCAAAATCTTTCCCATCCTGAAAAAGACCAGGGCAATGCTAATCAGCAGCAGAAAACACCAGCCACACGTTGCACGAGGAGCCCACAGAAAAGCCAATAACAAGCGCCCTCAAGTGATCGTGAAATTGCCCACGAAGCATTCGGTTTGCACCTCTCTCACCTTTACACGAGTCACGTGAGTCCAGCTGCTCACGTGTGCAAGCATTTACAGGACTGGGCCCTGAAAGCTGGCTCCTACTCCCTCCCAGATGAATGACAAAGCTGCCCTTGACGTCAGTGAGACCAGGTTCAGGCCCTAAGTCACCAGGGAACAGGGAATTTTGGTTCCAAGCAACTGTCTGTAGAAAGTATTGTAAGATTTTCAGAAGAATGAGGAAAGCTTTTTCTGTTGGCAACTTCCCACCCAGCTAGGCCTCCTGGGCACTAACATACAGTGCATGCCTACTCCTGCACTCGCCCAACCAGCATGCCCCCTCCTGCTTGTGTCCTGGTTTGCACTATGCAAAAAAAACCACCTCAGAGCAGCCTTTTCTCTGCATTCAAACAAGCCAGTCTCAGGAGCGCCTGGTTTCTCTGATGCAGACACATACGGGTTTACCACCTTCACACTGTTGGCCACATCCTCAGCTGGTGGAAATTGGCGAGGTGAGTGAGCTCCACCCAGTTCACCAGCAGAAGCCTTTTTCCACCCCCAGATTCCCTCAGAGGTATGAATTATGCCGTATTATTTGGCATGCAGCAATTCTCCAAAAAGGGCTACATTTTCGGAGTTCAATGTATCTGCCCTAGTCATCCACATCATATATAAATTGAAAGCTTATTTTATGTACGTTTAGGTGAGATATAATATGGACCTCTCGAGTGGTGCCGTAAGCTTGTAGGCAAGGTGAAACACTGGTATCCAAAATGGGGCAGTGACATTTTTTACATAGTTCCAGGAACACGGCAACATGAGGATGATGACAGCTTTTACTGTTTATGTTAATTTCAGCACCTTAGTGTGGTGTTTCATGGCCAAAGCTACCAAACAACAATATAGTAAAAGATTTGTATTGGTTTTGCATGGGCAAGTTTTTTTCCCCCCCTCAGAAATGATGCTGATTAGCATGTGGCAAAAATGGCAAATATCAACATTTTGCAATATACTCACATGAACTGTTTTCACATTACGTATTCTTAGTTTGCCAAAGTATTTCACAAGTGATTAGAATAGGTTTTTTTATATTTTCAAATGAAATTTGCTGACCAGATCAGTCTCACCCTGCAGGTTGTGCACCAGTAGCAGTAGATTGCATCCCCATAGTTTGTACTGCACAGTGGGTAGATGCGGATGTATGTGAATTCCTGATGTAATGTTTCTCCATTTGTGAGCTTTTGTACATACGTCACACCTCGTCTGTACTGGCCTAGGAAATTTCTAGAAACTTGCTTTTTAATTCAGTGGCACTTACGCACAGGTCAGTGTTCGAGATGACAAGCCACAGTTTCATACTGGGCTTCAAAGTGTTCACTAAACAAAAATGGCAATTTGGATACTAACCTATAGATCTAATTTAGTGCAAGTCAGTGTACTTGAACAAAATGAAAAATGGTGGTGGGAATGCTCACAATATACACTGGGAATTTTACCTTTGTGGGGAGTTGCAGTATATGAAGATATGGAGGATACAAGCCCCTCAACGCTTACATCAAAGAGAAAAAAACTCAACACATTTTTCAAAGTTTGCGGGATTTGTCAAGAAAATCAAAAGAAAGCAAAAAACTGTCCAAAGCCACCAGTGCTGGGTAGAATTCGGCGATGGTGGCAGCAGAAGGCAGGAGAGGGGAGTTGTATCGGCGGCTACTGGGTGAGTTTTCTAGTTTAGGTGATGTGCCACCGATGCTCTATCACAAGTGTTGCTTTCAGAAGTACACAAGCAAGTCAAATATGACGTATGTCAGAGTTGTGTTGAACTCAGGGAAGAAAACAGACTCTGAATCGGATCAGAGAGCATCATGTTCACCTGCTTCTATAGCCGCCAGAGCAAGCACATCCTCCAGCGATTGGTCCTGCTGCCGTGCTTGCTTGAGAAAACATACACAAGACAGACAAGACACTCCATAAAACAGAAACATTTGAGAGAGGCAGCAGTTCAAGTGGAGATGACGACATGTTGCGCAGAATATCTGTGGAAGGCTGAACTGCTAAGGATGCCGTTTATCACTTGCCCCGCTCAATACCATCTAGTAACACGACAACAATACAGCCACCTTACAACACTGCACTGTATCACCTAGTTGGAGACAATACAAAGTCTCCTGTCCAAGCTGCTACAAAGATATAAAGCCCTGCTTCCCTCGGATGTAGAAACAGCAAGCTATTCCAGTAGCAACTTACAGGCAAGATTAGAAAAACACTGGGGTGCTGTAATTTCATTCCATGCACAGCATGGACAAGGTAAGTCTACCATTGTTCTGTGCAGCGCAAGAACATTAGCGGATGCTGCCCAAGCTGCTAGTCATCTGAAGCAAGATATTAAGTCGCCCAAATGTTTTGTGGATGTTCTTCCAGCGAGTGAGCCTGATGAACTGCTTTCAAATGATCAAGCGGTTCCTTAGAATGCCACTTCAACCCTTCCGTCTGAAAAAGCCACAATGAAAGCCTCAGAATATTAGCCAGAGCCAGGTGATTGTAGAGGCCAGGTACTTTTGTGCCCCAACTGGTGCATGAGTTTGGTCTTTCTTTGCTAGATAAGCAGGCCTACAACTCAGCCAGTAATGGGTACCATCCTTCTGAAGACACACACAGAAAGTGCCTTAAAGATTGTGCATTCTGCAAGCCAAAGTTTTCACACCACTGCACATAAGCCTTGCTGCACAGCTACCCCGTGAGTTTGGGTCTCACAGACTGCACCTTCAGAGACTCTGCATCAATTATGACAAGCGGAGGCACTGCATCACTAGTGCTGCAAAAACAGAAGTAGAAAGACTCCAGGGAAGTGTATTCATTCCAAATGGAATTGTACCACTTCATGCTGGTGGAAAACTCATCTGTGAAGGAGATGAGAATATAGACATCGACACAGAGACAGTTGATGGTGTGACAGAGTGCTGGAAACCAATGGCTGCGCCAGCACTCTGATCACTTAAACCCCCATTAATTGGGGAGAAAGGCAGGCAGGCTTGTGGAATCAGAACCAAGAAGGTTCTCTGGATGGAGAGATCTCGTCTCCTCGGTAGAGGGCTAATGAGAAACAAATATGTGGTTTGTGGATTAATAAGGTGGTGGGAAGAGCAATGTAAAGAAACTACATAGTGGTGTTTAATGACTGAAGGTCTCCAAATAGTCTGTGAAGACAGACAGAGAAGAAGACAGGAGTGAGGCCTCGCCCGGTGATAGGTGAAAATAACATCGTCCATTCAATGGCTAGAGCAGGATTTCAAGAAACAGTCTGCAGATAGTCCTGAATTGTTGAGCTTCAATCTAACCATCAACAGGACAAGTCACCGGCCAAGCTCCCCACCATGTGAGGACCGTTTTGAAGAGCATGTCAAAAGACCAGCTTGGCAAACAAAGCTTTGGATGTCCTCGCCCACAGGTAAACCAGATACTGGATCACCATTACAAAAAGGATGGAAAAACATGGATGATGAATTACTTCCTGTATTCTTCAAGGACCCATTGGCATCTGAGCATCTACAAGCCTTCATTTGTGCCTGTACCAATAGGGGTAACTGCACAATCAACTGTGTCTGCAGTCAGACCAATCTTCCCTGTCCAGAACTGGGTACATGCCCAGGCAACGAAGACTGTAGTAGCCACACGCTCTGATCATCACGATAATGTTGTTGATGAGAAATGTCACCAGCGCGAAGGATACCTGTACACGTTTTTATTAGATTCTGTTTTACCCTTTAGATCGTTGTTGTGATGCCTTGAGGTCACAACCAAATGCAATTTGACATCTTGAAATAATGCTGAGTCCTTAAAGTAACAGAAGTGAATGCAAATATTGCAAAGTGGTCACTTTAACATGTGGATGGGGTCCTTGGTTATGGTTTCTACGGTAGCAGCATCACCCGACAGCACCACATCACGCCTCACCTGGAAGTAGACATAATAAGCTTTCCAATGATGTGCACGTACAAAGAGATGATACATTAAAGCAACCAGACAGGAGGTATCTGCCATTGCCGATATTCTTGCCTGGAAGGTCTTGGCCCCAGCGCTTCAGCACCTCGCTGGCTGCGAAGCTCAGAAGCGCCGCCTGCTGCGGAGCAGAGACTTCATGCCCCCTCTGCACATTCAGGAGTCAGGGGCGGCTCCAACAGAGGGGGGCTTTGATCAGCCACATCTAGGGAGCTCTACTGTGCCCTAGCCACAACTGCACCCCTCTCTCAACACACTTTCTCCTGCCCCCCACATGTCCAGGGGAGAGTGGGGCAGGAAAGGACTCTGCTACGCCAGCCCTGCAGGGAAGCCCTGGCACTGGGGTTGTTCCATGGGTGCCAGTTAAACTGGCTTTGCATCCCCTTAAAGGGACACATCGGAGCTGGCATCTCAGCCATTGACGGCCCTGCAGTTGATCAGACACATTTCTAAATCACACCTGCCTCTGCTGGTCTGAGCGCCGGCTCGCTGCCTAGCTGCCCTGTTATTCTAGTTCTTTTTCATTGCATGTGAGGAAAGTGTAAAAGACGGATTTCTATGGCACCCTTCGTCAGCTTTTCCACATGCGTTTGGCTGTGGGGTGTAGCGTGAAAGCACAGTCGTCCCCCCCGAGCATTACACAAGTTACCAGCAGATCAGAGTTGACTGAGGTAAGCTCCATGACATTGAGCACGTTAGGGGTGATAGTTACCTGGCTCGGATTTCTTTCCAGTTGCTATTGGTTGTTACACACTGTTCTTTGCATGCCAGTGGTTCAGCCCCCGCTGGACTGTCTGGACTGTCACAATTTGTGGTGTCGCTTCCATGGAGCTGGAATTTGGAATCCGTGAACCCAATTCACACTTGCGGGACAGCGCGACTTTGGGGTATACGTGCCTCTGAGAGCCTAATCCTGCGAGGTGCATGCTTAGCCCTTACTGCAGACAACAAGGGGCCCTGCATCCTACATGCATGGACTGGCTCTGAGAAAAGAGCCAGTGAGCAAGCTCCATCCCTCCCTCTCAGCTCCGTGTCAGGAAAGGCCCATAATTACTGGCTAGTTATTAGGCAGTACAGTCCACCGTCCACTGCATCGCTCGCCTCGGCCAGGACGCAGGGCGTGTCACGGGGGGACACCACACAGCACAGTCTCTTAGTCAGTCAGGGCGCTAGAGGGAACCACCAGATCTGCCCCTATCCAGTAGCGCACAAAAGAATCCCTTTCCTACCCTTTACAGCGAGTCCAGTCTTCTCGAACACAGGAGGCACTACAGGGAGGGAGAGTGATTCCTGGCCAACAGGCCCTCCCGCCCCATTCCTCACCGTGGGCAAGAGAAAGGAAAAGGTCTGAGGGGAAAAAAGGAGAAGAAACTAAGGGGAAGGACAACCAAGAATAACGCTGACGGGGGCCCCAAATCCTGGTCCTGCACGGAAGACAAAGCAAACAAGCCAAATCCAAACTAACGCCCATTCCTTCAATAATCATCATCACATGTGCAAATCCTCAGGCTAAGCTTTGGTGTGCATTAGATGCCTAATTATGTAGCAAAATGCAATTGCACAATTCCAGCGAGCCTCTGACCGTGCCCTGGCACTGGGACGCTGTCACAGAGTCACCGGGCGATGCTTTGGAACTACTCCATATGAAACCAGTCAGGACTCTGGGGGAGCCTCCTCTGTGAGCAGCTTACACAGCTTCGACCTCCCTGGGTCTGACCTCAGAGCATTCAGCATCCCCTTCTCACACCGTGCGCTTCCCACAGCAAGCCGCCTGCGTAGGGCTCCTGGGGAAACCAGAGGGCCCTGCCCACAACTCCGCAGTCAGACGTGACTCTCAGCCAGCCAGTAAAAAGAAGGTTTATTATTCGACAGGAACACGGCATAGGACAGAACTTGTTAGCACAGAAATCAGTGACTTTCAGCCAAGTCCATCTTGCGGAGTCCTGGGCCTGAAGCCCAGGACTCCAGCTCTTCCAGTCCCCAAAAGCAGACTGCCAGTTTCCAGCGACCCAACCTCCATTGCTCCTCCTTGTCTCCCTTCCCAGGCAAAAAGTCACCTGGTCGTCACCTGGTTGCATCCTCCTCCTGGGTCTCAGGTTACGGGCCACAACCTCCGTGCAGGCAGCTGGAGCAGCCTCACCTGCCCCAGAGGTCTCAGCCAAAGTCACACACCCCTCTTCCCCCCACCGAGGTATTGATGCAGCACACAGGGAAACTGAGGCACACACCGTATTCATGCAAAACAGTAAGACTCATGTAGGCTCACATACAACATAAGGGAAAATCCCCACTTGGTCACAGACGCCCTCACCCAAGGGAACAACCAATTCGTCCTCTTTGGCACCTCCTGCTGGAAACATCAGTGTGTGCAACAGCACGCTCTGCCCGGGGCACAGCTCTCAGCCTGGCCCACGGCACACCGGGGACTCTTTCGGAACATCTAATCCTCCGCACCACCCCTGCCCTCCGGGCTTCCGCTGGGGGAGAGCAGCTGTACTGCGCAGCACGGGCTCCACAGAACGGGGAACCAGAGCATCCCCTGGGCATCCCGGCTCGGTTCCCTCCCTGGCCAGCGCCGCACACAGGGCTGACTCATCCCACCAAGCACCTAAACAGAGCCCTGTGTCTCCTGCCCGCCTGGCTGCAAGAGGAAGCTTGAGCAGTGACATGTGCAAGGGCAGAGGAGTCAAAGGCAAACAGCGGGCAGAGGGGTTGCCATGAAACTCCAAGTCGCGTGCCGGGTGAGTGCGAGACTGCAAAACCCAGGAGACGCCTGCCCCATCTGGGAAGTCTGTCCCAGCTCTGGGTACGGTCTTGCTGTCCCGAGATCTCAGTGAGGACGCGATACTGTTCCTGGGTGCAGAGACAATGATTTGCCTGGAACAGCCACAGCTCAGGGATCACTGGGCTCCCCTACCTGGTATTCCACCACTTCCCCCGCAACTCTGCTCTCCTGCTCCCCAGCGACGAGCTCGGGGGATCCGTTCTGGTCCTCCTGGGTGCTGCTGGCAGACGTGGTGCTGCTGCTCTGGGAGGAATCCTTGGAATCCTCCTCAGTGAGGTCAATCATGGCAACCTGGACAGACATAGCTGTCCTCCTCTTGGAGCACTGGGGAGAAGGAATAGGGCATGAGTAGCCAGCAGAGGGAGGCAGGGAGGGAAACAGAGGGGCGAGGAGGAGAGAGAGAACAAAAGCCTGAAGGGCCAGGAAGGCAGCACAGACCCATCCTGCATCACATCGTCCCTGCAAACTGCATCCCCCAAACCACCCTAAAATACCTCGTTTCCAGGCTGAGAATCAGAGAGCCAGACTCAGAGCCCTGGACAGGCGCAAGGAGAAAGCTCTGCTCTTGAAGCCACACTACATACCATGTGGGCTTCAGTTCTGCCCTTGCCAATTCAAGCTCTCCCTGTATGTGGTCCCCTGCCCCACGCAGAGCCCTACCCGAACGGGAGCCAGGGACTCCTTGTCACTCTCCAGGTCATTCTCTTCTTTAAGTCCTGCCTGGAATATCCTGCGAGCTGGAGGCTTCTGCCTCAGACTGCTCTCCCAGCCGGCAGCACCGCGCGTTCGCACCTGGAACCCAGAGAGAACAGGCCTTGGTTACACCCTTCATGCTCTTTTCCCAGCCTAGAGTCAACACAGAGAATACATTTAATCTGCACCGATGCTTTCCCACAATGCACGGCAAGGGCCATGCTGTGATCACGGGCCAGTTTCATTCTACCTGTAGGGCCCACAGCAATCGGAGATTGAATTGTAGGGACAGCAGCACAGGCTACGCAAGGTGTATGGTCCAGTGGGCAGGGCATTAGCTTGCAGGCAGGAGACCTAGGTTCTCGTCCTAGCTCTAGCACAAACCTGCTGGGTGATGCGGGGTGAATCCCGGCATCTCTCTGGGCCTGTTTTACCTCAACAAGGCCAGACACTACCGCTCACTGCGGGACTGTGCAGTGCAAAATGGGGCCCCGATCTGGACTAGAGCCAGCAGGTGCTACAATAACAATGTGTATTGTCATGTGGTATCTCAGCATCTCATTGCACGGGCCTGGTGCCTCTAAACTACTTGATATCCTGCCCACGAGAAACCCAATATTCTGTCCTTGGGGCAGTTACCCTCCCCCATGAGAGCCCAGCCCAGATCCTAGAAGGGATCCGTATTTAGAGGGACAACTTTTGTTTTCGGTCACTGTGTTTCACTGACTGTGTCTCCTCCTAAAACCACCACTTCTTGGCAGAGAGGTAACTAAAAACATGTTTAAAAGGCAACAAAAAGGACCTGAGATTTGGCAGCTATTCTGAATCCTATGGACTCTGGAGCACAGCATCTGCAGCTGGGCTGTACTTGGGGGAGAAGGGTCTCTCTCTGCAGTCCCTTCCTAGGGCCCCAGCCCTCATGTGCGCGCGCACACACACACACACACACACAGACACATTCTGCAGAGGCTCCCTCCCATGGCAGCTTTTCCCCTGTGGTTTGTTGATCTCATGTTCAATGAAACATTCTAAAGCAGGCGGGTTTCCTGCATCTGGGGTAACAGAATTTTAAAATAAAACCAGTCTTCAAAGCGGCCTAGGGGTGAACAGGCCCTTCAAGCCAACAGAATTTTAACCCCTGGGTTTATTTTAGGGCTTCTGCTGTTGGAAGGTCTGTACTCACAGGCAGATCTCTAGCTTTGGGGTTTCAAAGTCAACACAATAAAGTTACATTGGAGGCCAGAAAGGCCTCTGAATTCATCATTTTACACATAGAAGTGAAAGGCAAAAGTAACGAGCCCCAGTTGCAGCAAGGTCCCAGCTCGTGTCTGGGGCAGGCAAAGGTTTGCGAGCTGGTTCCAGTTCCTTCTTTCCGGTCTTCTACTCTCAGCAAGGCTTTGACCTTCTCTATAGCACCTTCCACACAAGGGTCTCAAAACAGGTGACAAGCATCAGAGAAAGAGCCCTCCCAGCTCCCGTGCAAGGCAGGTACTTCCCCCACATTTTAAAGACAGGAAATCTAAGGCGGAGAGAGGGGAAGGGACTTGCTCAAGGTCTCACCATCCATGGCGGAGCTGGGATTAGAGCTCCGATCTCACGCTTGGATCACAAGACCATGCACCCTTGTAAAGGAATGTAAGGCTTGCCTCTCCTATACCACACTCAAATCCCCCAGGCGCTCTGCGGGGCGAGAGGGGAGGGAATTAGTGACTGTCTGTCTCCTTGTTGACACGCTCTTTGTTCTGTAAACAGGAGATTAGGTTATAGCTGTAACCTATAGCTATAACTGAACGCTGTTTGGCTTTTGGGTTTTCTTTTTGATTAAACTGCCCCTTGGAATTTCTCTGGCTCGAGAAAGAAACTAGAGCAGTTTGGCTCCCACTCTGCCGACCGAGAGTACAAGGGCCAGACTGGATCAAATGCATGGTCCATATCGACTATACCTAGGAAGCTACCAGTCTTGTCACTGGTCAAGAGCAGTTTGGCTCCCACTCTGCCGACAGAGAGTACAAGGGCCAATTCCCACAGCACTTCCTCAGGCCACGGGAGTAAAGAACAAATGAGGAGCACAGAATTTGGCCCACAGTTATTAGCAGCACTTCACAAATGAGCTGTGCGCCTGTTTAACCAAATGGGCTATTAAACTACCATGCAGACTCGTGCCGTGTTTCTCAAATGCGGCCACCAGCAATTTTTTTGCCGCCAAAAAGCCTCCAAAGGCTGGGCGGAGATTGGGGGAAAGGGGCAAAGCAGCACGCAGCTGTTACTCCTGAATAGCTGTTACCAAGGGCAGCGAGATGCACTGCCTTGGTGCTTGCCCTGGGGCCACCACCGGGAACGACGCCCGGCACCGTGCAGCCGCCTCGGGGGCGCCAGGCAGAGCCTCTGGAGATATGGGGCTGGTGCCCTGGGTGCCAGAGGCAGCTCTTGTCAATGGAGGAGGCTGCAGCATTCGGTTGCCAGGGCACTCCCCGGGCAGCTCTCCCACTCCCGCCTGGCTGGGGCACGGGGAGCCAGGGACTTCACAAGCAGCCGGTGAAGTCCCCAACCCACCTTCCCTGGGGCGTCTCTCGCTGCCGGGTCGCAGGAGGCAGGGGACCGGCAGACGGGTTTGTCAGAGCGACAACAAGCAAGACAAAATTTGCTGTGACAATTCACAGGCTACTATACAATAGAGACCAGAGCACGATGTTCTGTGGGAGGAAACAACTGACCTCCGGAGCCTTGCTGAGCTTCATGGGCCAAGATAGGTCTTCCTTGGAGACGTCTTCCTTGCCGATCTTCTTGCTCCTAGTGGACACTATTCGTAGGTCCACAGCATCTACGGGAAACAGTTCAAAGCAATACTGCCCTCAGTCAGTTGTTCTGGAATAGGACCCGCTTACTTCAGCACGGCGTTTGATATAAATCAGCAAGTCCTGACCTCACCCACATCCTACCCTAGGGAAGAAATCTGGCCCAACTCTGAAGATTTTGACAGTCTCAGACCTCGCTTCGGCAGGATTGCGAACCCCAAGCATTCAAACATTGTAAGTCAGCTGCCAACAAATCGTGAAATTGCCTTAAAAATGATAAATGTAGGCCTCTAGGGTGTAATAATGGTAACAGCCACCTCAAAGATAGAGCTTTTCAGCAGCAGATCTCAAAGCACTTTACAAAAGACATCAGTATCATTCTCCCCATTTTATACACGAGGCACAGAAGGGGACTCCCCCAAGGTCATCGGCAAAGCCAGGAATGGAACCCTGGTCTCTGGAGTCCCAATTCAGTGCTCAACCCCCTAAGCCGCACTGCTACCTCCTCTTTGTATTTTCAAGTCTTTCTCCATAGCTACACAGGCTAGAAATGTACTCCTTTCTCTTTTTAATTAAAGCTGGCAGTCTGACCTAATCACACGACTCCAGGAGCTGGGGCACTGGGGAAATCTAGTCACTATCATGAGACTCTTGATAGAATCGCAAGAATTGGCAACACTCTTTTTGTGCATATTTATTCGTCCTCTGTGTTGCGTGCCTGGCTCAGGGTGGCACAGTCAAATGACTCAGAGAGGCAGAGCAGAGCTTGTCACATGTTTCAGGATGGCAAAGCCTGTCACATAGCTCCGGGCAGTTTGCAATAGGAGCATGTGTTGCCATTATTAGTTATGATGTCTCTGCAACGTACTCTACGGCTCGGAAGATGCCAGTGGTTTATTATTAACTTGTGCAGCATCAGTGACATACATCTAGCGCACCCAATACCAGCACGCAAATCTGCCCTATCGCTCATTGCCTACCGGGGACCCAGTCCTGCTCCCTCTCAGGTCAATGGCAAAACTGCCTTTGTCTTCAAGGAGACCAGGATCCAGCCTTACATAGATGAGAGCTTTCGGAGTAGCAGCCGTGTTAGTCTGTATCCGCAAAAACAACGAGGAGTCCTTGTGGCACCTTAGAGACTAACACATTTATTTGAGCATAAGCTTTCGTGGGCTAGAACCCACTTATCGGATGCATGCAGTGGAAAATACAGTAGGAAGATTATATATTATATATATATATATATATATACATACACACACACACACACAGAGGACATGAAACAATGGGGTTACCATACACACTATAACGAGAGTTACCAGCAGGAGGGGGGAAAAAACTTTTTGTAATGGTAATCAAAATGGCCCATTTCCAGCAGTTGACAAGAAGGTATGAGGAACTGGACGGGATTGGGGGCAGGGAGGGGGAAGGAAATAAACATGGGGAAATAGTTTTACTTTGTGTAATGACCCATCCACTCCCAGTCTTTATTCAAGCCTAATTTAATGGTGTCCAGTTTGCAAATGAATTCCAATTCAGCAGTCTCTCGATGGAGTCTGTTTTTGAAGTTTTTTTGTTGTAATATTGTGACTTTGAGGTCTGTAATTGAGTGACCAGGAAGATTGAAGTGTTCTCCAACTGGTTTTGAATGTTATCATTCTTGACGTCTGATTTGTGTCCATTAATTATTTTGCGTAGAGGCTGCCCGGTTTGGCCAATGTACGTGGCAGAGGGGCATTAGGGACACATGATGGCATATATCACATTGGTAGATGTGCAGGTGAACGAGCCTCTGATAGTGTGGCTGATGTGATTAGGTCCTATGATGGTGTCCCTTGAATAAATATGTGGACAGAGTTGGCAACGGGCTTTGTTGCAGGGATAGGTTCCTGGGTTAGTGTTTTTGCTGTGTGGTTGCTGGTGAGTATTTGCTTCAGGTTGGGGGACTGTCTGTAAGCGAGGACTGGCCTGTCTCCCAAGATCTGGGAGAGTGAGGGATCGTCCTTCCGGATAGGTTGTAGATCCTTGATGATGTGCTGGAGAGGTTTTAGTTGGGGGCTGAAGGCTAGTGGCGTTCCGTTACTTTCTTTGTTGGGCCTGTCCTGTAGTAGGTGACTTCTGGGAACTCTGTTGGCTCTGTCAATCTGTTTCTTCACTTCAGCAGGTGGGTATTGTAGTTGTAATAACACTTGATAGAGATCTTGTAGGTGTTTGTCTCTGTCTGAGGGGTTGGAGCAAGTGCGGTTGTATCTTAGAGCTTGGCTGTAGACAATGGATCGAGTGGTGTGGTCTGGATGAAAGCTGGAGGCATGTAGGTAACTATAGTGGTCAGTAGGTTTCCGGTATAGGATGGTGTTTATGTGACCATCACTTATTAGCACTGTAGTGTCCAGGAAGTGGATTTCTTGTGTGGACTGGTCCAGGCTGAGGTTGATGGTGGGGTGGAAATTGTTGAAATCATGATGGAATTCCTCAAGGGCTTCTTTTCCATGGGTCCAGATGATGAAGATGTCATCAATGTAGCGCAAGTAGAGTAGGGGTGTTAGAACAATGATTTGGATACTTTAAGCTGCACACAGGCTTCTGAGTGATCAGTTGCTAACCAGCTCCGAGAGGGGGACAGGACCGATTTCATGTGTGAAAATACCTGCTGGATCCAAATGCTGCAAGCATTGCAAACGCAATTTTCTTCAAACAGTTAAATTTCACTGGCAGGGACGTCCAGCAGGTCAGAACAGAGGCCCCACGATCTCTTTCGGTAGCTTCAAGTGCGCTCCGCAGATCCACAAACTTTGATGTCCACAATTCTGAGCTTTTTTAACTGAATGAGTTGCATTTCGAAATCTTCAACACCCATCCACTGAAATACAGACAAATCCAAGTCGCTTTCGTTGAACTTTTCAGGTTTAATTAGAAAAGAAAGCAATGGACAAATTGCTGGAAATCTTGAAATCTGTCAGAAAATTCTGATTCCAGTTCTTGCCTGTACTTTCCAATCCCATCGACATTGACAGTGCAACGTGTCGATAGCTCTTTTATGAGTGGGAAGTAGCAGAAAGTAGAAGTTTGAATATTCCTGGAAAAAACTGCTAGTTTCACAACAAATGCTCTGCAGGCTTCATAAAGATCCAGAACTGTTTGCCCTGCACCCTGGAGAGAGAGGTTGAGTTTGTTTAGGTGAGCGGTGATATCAGTTAGAAACATGAGCTTACACAGCCATTTGTCATCATCCAGTTCGGGATAGTTTTGTTCTTTTTCCAACAAAAAGATCTTGATTGCATCAACACAGTTTACAAAGCGCACCAAAACCTTGCCACGGCTTCGCCTCCGAATGTTGCTGTGAAGTGGGATGTTGTTATAAGCACTGTCCATCTCTTCTAGCAGTGCTTGAAATTGTGAGTCAAAGCAGCTCGAGCAACAAGGAAATTCACAATTTGCACCACTGTATTCATCACATTATTTAAGCTCTGAATTCGAATTTTTAACACACAGGTTTTCTTGATGGATGATACAGTGAAATTTGACTGTCAGACGGCCAATTTGATCTTCAAGTAACTTTACAAATCCCTTCTGTTTTCCGACCATGGCAGGAGCACCATCTGTTGTCACACAAAATATTTTACTGATGTCAACTCTTCGTTCTTCAAAATGGTTTACAAAACTTTCCAGTATATCTTCCCATTTTGTTGTGCCATGCAGGGGTTTTAGGCAACAAAGTTCCTCTTGGATTTCATCGGAAGCACAATATCTTGCAACTGCCGCCAAACGTGGAACGTCGTTTATATCCACGCTCTCATCAACTGCAACACTAAACACTGCTGGGTCTTTCAATGCAGTCATCTGCTTTTCCTTAATGTTTTCTGCCATTTCACGGATGCGTCTCTGAACTGTCCTGGCAGAGACAGGCAGTTCTTTTATTCTAGATATGATTGTATCTTTATTTGGCAAATCATTGAACAAAATCTCTGAACTGCTGAGAAAAATGTCTTTTATATATTCCCCATCTGTAAACGGCTTTCCATTTTTTTGCAATGCACTGTGCAATCTTGTAACTTCCTTCTGTAGCTTGATTTTTTACTTACACTTAAGCTTTTAAAAACACTGCTTTGCTTCTCATATCCTGCTACTGACTTTTTGCGCGATTCAATCTTGTCAAGAAAGGTTTTCTCGTACTTCGTTTCAAAAGGTCGAACACTTGATGTGTGACACACAACACTTTCATAACAGAAAGCACAAATAGCATGCTCCTTTTTGTCAAGAAATCCAAATGCGTCTGTCCAAGCAGGCTGAAACGATCGGACATCTAGCTTCGCTTTCTTAGGAGCTGCCATTTTGTCAAATGTTCCCTTCAACTCTCAGTGGGAAAAAAAATGGCGATAGAAGGCAGGCACAAGGTCAAACGCAGCATGGTTGATATAAGCAATTTTAAGACGGGGGTGCTGAGCCGTACCCCCTCTTGCCTCGTATGCAACCCGCACTGTCCCGGGCTGGGGACAGTGGGCCACAGCGGGGAGACTGCAGAGCACTGATCCAAGGCCAGGAGCAGAACCCGGGGTGGCCTGCTGGGACTCCAGGCTGAGCAAGGCTGGAGATCCAGACCCCAGCTGGCAGGAGGTCAGCGGCTGGAACCCCAGATCGGCAGCTGAGGTGAGTGGAGCTGGCGGCTGGTAGGGCTGAGCAGGGCCGGAGGCCTGGACGCTGTGTGGCAGGGGGCCTGTGCTGGAACTCCAACCGGAAGCAAGGTGAGTGGGGCTGCAGCGGGGACCCCAGCTGACCTCTGGGGTTCTGGCTGCTGGCTCCTGCCAGCCGGGGTCTCAGCCCACTGCCAGCCTGGGGTTCCTTCACCCAGGCCGGCAGTGGGCGCTGAGTGGGACCGGTGGCGGGACCCTGGCTGGCAGGAGCTGGCGGCCGAAACCCCAGAGCGGCAGCGGGCTGAGCCGCTCAGCCCACCGCCGCGTGCCATCAAAAATCGGCTCGCATGCCACCTTTGGCACACGTGCCGCAGGTTGCCGACCCCTGGTGTATGGTAACACCCATTATTTCATGTTCTCTGTACATATATATCTTCCTACTGTATTTTCCACTGCATGCATCCGCTAAGTGGGTTTTAGCCCATGAAAGCTTATGCTCAAATAAATTTGTTAGTCTCTAAGGTGCCACAAGTACTCCTGTTCTTTTTATAGATGAGAGCCACATTAGAGAAGCCCAATCTATACAAGCACCCAATGCAATGATCTTCACTGCACCCAGCACCGCCTCCAAGAAGTCAGCTGTGGAAATCCAGAGCCCAGCCCATGCTGTGAGTGCAGTAAGAGGAGACTGACCTTGTGTATTGGGCCTCCCATTTGCTTCCAGAGCTGGGGGAGAAGCTTCATCTTCAGCAGGGTCACTGCAGCCTCCGTTGACAAAGACCAGCTCTGCCCTGCAGTCTGTCTCCCCATCGCCATGGCACTTGTCTCTTTTCATGCTAGCCTGCGGAAATGATTTGAGGTACAACAGGAGAGAAATTTAGCCACCCACTAAATACAGCCAAGTAGAGTCTGAGAAAGACAAACTGGGCTGCGTAACCTTCTAAATGCAGCCACAACTGAACATCCGCTTAGCGGCTTTCTTAAGGCCTGGTCCAATGCCCATGGACATTAATGGAAAGATCCCACCGACTCGAATGAATGCTGCCTCAGTCCCTTTCTGTAGCCCGTCCTGCTGAGATTCACACGCGGCTCTGATTCTCCGAAGCGTCGTTGCTCTCTACACCACTCTGGACGGGGCCTGGTGATGATCCGAACAGCACTTCGAGGCACTAGTCCGGAAGTCAGGCCAGTTTCACACAGGTGCAACGCCAGTGGAGCGACTCCCAATTTATACTGGTGTACATGAGAGGAAAATTCCTGATCTAACAGACTGGACATCCTTAATCTAGAGCGGAGTTCCTTGTTCTGGATTTCAAGCTGCTGTCCCCAATCACGTTGGAGGAATGAGATGTTTCCAAAAAGCCTACGCTACCAGGGAAAACCAAGTCCCCATATTGCCACTAGACTGGTTATTTTCCTTTGAAAAATGCACAGAGGGGATTTTTCCTGTAGCCCAGGGCAATAGAATGAGCTGGGGCAGCAATATTAAAATGCACCAGCCAGACAGCCAGTAGGGGCAAAGTCCTGCAGTCCACACTCAGCTGCAATTCCCACTGAATTCCAAGGGGGCTTGGCTGCAACAGAGACCGAGCGAGAGCTGCAGAATCTGGCCCAGGAGATGTGGTTTATTCTAGTTTAAAAAAAAAAAAAATGCAACAACTGATTTCCAATGCAAGGAGTTTGTCAGGGGAGTCCAGACAACACGTACACAATAGGACACTTTCTGCACAACCCTCCCCCATACACACACACTTTAGAAAATAAATAAATAAATACACCAGGTTGGCAGCTCAGGTCCCCACAAGGGGGGCCCGGCTCCAGCTACTTTGGGAGGGCAGCTGCTGCAACTGCAAAACCTGACATCAACACAAGGTCAGTTACAAACATTCATATTTATTGGCATTTACACTAATATCAATAGCTTAAACAACTCTCTTTATGCACTGGCAAGCAGTTGTAGAGTCTGGTTAAACAGATTTCAGAGTAGCAGCCGTGTTAGTCTGTATCCGCAAAAAGAACAGGAGGACTTGTGGCACCTTAGAGACTAACAAATTTATTAGAGCATAAGCTTTCGTGGGCCACTGCCCACTTCTTCGGATGCATATAGAGTGGAACATATATTGAGGGGATATATATACACACATACAGAGAGCATGAACAGGTGGGAGTTGTCTTGCCAACTCTGAGAGGCCAATTAAGTAAGAGAAAAATTTTTTCACTTCAAACAAAAAATTTTTCTCTTACTTAATTGGCCTCTCAGAGTTGGCAAGACAACT